GGAAAAAGGACAGTCATTTCACTAAATGGTGTTGGGAAAACAGGATATCCACATGCAAAAGAATGAAATTAGGCTCTTATCTCACATCATATACAAAAGCCAACTCAAACTGGATTAAAGATTTAAATGTAAGGCTGAAACCTGTAAAACTACTATAATGTCATGGAAAGCTCCATGACATTGGTCTGGACAATGGTTTTTTTTTTAATATGATCCTGAAGCATAGGCAACAAAAGCAAAAATACCCAAAGGGGACTACATCAAACTAAAAAGCTTCTGCATAACAAAAGAAACAATCAACAGAATGAAAAGGCAGCCTACAGAACGGGAGAATATTTGCAAAGCATACATCAGATGAAGGGTCAATATCTAAAACATATAAGGAATGCAGACAACCTAATAGCAAGAAAACAAATAACCCATTTTAAAAATGGGTGCATGATCTCATTTACATGTAGAATCTAAAAAAGTCCAATTCATAGAAGCAGAGAGTAGGATGGTGGTTACCAAGGGCTAGAGGTGGGGAGAAACTGGGAAGATGTTGGTCAAAAGATACAAAATTTCACATACACAGGAGAATGACTTAAGAAATCTACTGTACAACATGGTGACTACAGTTAATAACAACATATAGTATACTTGAAAATTGTTATGAGAGTAGATTTTAAGTGTTCTCACTACAAATTACTGATAAATATGTGAGGTAATACATATATTAATTAGTTTGATTTAGCCATTCCACAATCTATACATATTTCAAAACATCCTGTTGTACACCAAAAAATATATATATATATCTGTCAATTTAAAAAACTTTAAATATGAATAATGTTATGTAACCATCATCACCATCCATGTCCAGAACTCCTTCCATATTATAAATGGAAACTCTGTACCCATTAAACAGTAACTCCCTGTTTCCCTCTCCCTCTAGTTCTTCAAACCACCATTGTGCTTCGTATGAATTTGAGATAAATTCACAATTTGAATATGAGTATTTTTTAAATTAATATTTTTTAATTGCCAGGAAATATTGTATATGTCTTTGGTGTACAACATGATGTCTTGAAATATGTATAGATTATGGCCAGGCGTGGTGGCTCACTCCTGTAATCCCAGCACTTTGGGAGGCCAAAGTGGGTGGATCACAAGGTCAGGAGATCAGGACCAACTTGACTAACACAGTGAAACCCTATCTCTACTAAAAATGCAAACAATTAGCTGGGCGTGGTGGCAGGCGCCTGTAGTCCCAGCTACTCAGGAGGCTGAGGCAGGAGAATGGCGTGAACCCAGGAGGCGGAGCTTGCAGTGAAACGAGATCGTGCCACTGCACTCCAGCCTGGGTGAAACAGTGAGACTCTGTCGCAAAAAAGAAATATGTATAGATTATGTAATTTAAAAAAATTTTTTTAATTATGTACACACAACCAATACAAAAAATAAGCAAAGGATTTGAATAAATACTTCTCCAAAGAAGATATACAAACGGCCAATAAGCATGTAAAAACATGCTCAGTAATCTTTAGGGAAATGCAAATCAAAACTACGAGATACCACTTCACATCCATTAGGATGGTTACCATAAAGAAATAAGTGTTAGAAAAAATGGGGAGAAATTACAACCCTTGTGCACTGTTGGTAAGAATGTAAGGTGGTACAGCCACCATGGGAAACAGTGCGGCGGTTCCTCAAAAAATGAAACCTAGAATTGCCACATGATCCAGCAATTCCAGTTTTGAGTGTATGCCTAAACCAGAGTCTCAAAGAGATATTTGTATACCCATGTTTACAGCAACATTATTCACAACAGCTACAACATGGATGCAATCCAAGTGTCCACTAACAAATGAATCAATAAGCAATATGTGGCATATACATACAGTGGAATATTATTCAGTTTTAAAAAGGAAGGACATTCTGACACATGCTATAACACAGGTGAAACTGGAGGACATTATGCTAAGTGAAATAAGCCAGTCACAGAAGGAAAAATACTGAGTGATTCCACTTATATGAGGCACTTAACATCGTCAGATTCAAACAAAGTAAAATGGTAGTTTCAAGAACTGGAGAAAGAGTGAAATGGCGAGTTATTGTTTAATGGGTACAGTTTCCATTTTATAATATGGAAAGTGTTCTGGAGATGGATAGTGGTGATGGTTATACAACATCATCAATATATTTAATACCATTGAACCATACACTTAAAAATAAGTAAGATGCATTTTATTTTATGTGTATTTTACTACAATAAAAAAATTGGGAACAAAAAGCAAAGAAACCACCAAAAAATTATAGAATTAATAGGAGATTTTAGCAAGACTGACAAACCCAAAATCAATACTTAAAAATCTATATATTGGCCAAGGCAGGCAGATTGCCTGAGCTCAGGATTTTGAGACCAGCCTGGGCAACACGGTGAAACCCTGTCTCTACTAAAATACAAAAAATTAGCCAGGGTGGTGGCGTGTGCCTGTAGTCCCAGCTACTCAGGAGGCTGAGGCAGGAGAATCACTTGAACCCGGGAGGCGGAGGTTGCAGTGAGCCGAGATCACGCCACTGCACACCTGGGCAACAGACCAAAACTCCATCTCAAAAAAAAAAACAACAACTATATATTAGAAACAATTGGAAAAAGACTTTAAAATAAGATATCATTTCATAACCATCAGATCAGCAACCACTAAAACGCTGGACAATACCAAGTGTTGGCAAAGATAAGGAGCAACAAAGCCTTCAACCTTCTGCTGGTGAGAATATAAACGGCTACAGTCATTTAGCAAAACAGTTGAGCTTGGTCATTACCTAGGAATGCTGAACTCGTGCCTACTCCACAGGTGGAAAGCCCAGTTCAAGTTATATACCCTAGATCAGTGTTTCTTAAACATTTTTCATTATGGCCAATTCAAGTAGCCTTTTAAGACATTTTTAATTAAATACTAATAAAAAATAAGACTTTGTTAAATAATGTTGATCTTTGAAAAGCCACAAATGACTGTAAATATCTAGGATTTTTTTTGCTCCCCAAGAACAAATCACTGTCTCATTGGGGGCAATACCTCCTTGCTGAGAATGTGTGCCTTAGGTCAGTGGTTCTCACACTTTAAAGTACATGAGAATCACCTGCAGGGCTTGTTAACACAGACTGCTGGGCCCCACTGCAGAGTTTCTGATTCAGTAAGTCTGGGGAAGAGCTCGGAATTCCTGTATCCTACACTACATGAGCAGCACAAAGCTGTGTCCTCTGGGGGGGTTCTAAAAATTAGAGTTGTCAACAAAGGGCTGCCTGGTGGTCTTGACTAAGAGTATTCCAGCCCATGACACCAGAATACTTTTAGGTGAGACCACCAGGATTCCTCCATGGATTATTATGGGATATCTGCCAAACCCGTAGCTCTTCTTTAAAATTGCCCCACCGTAGCCTCAGTTAAAGAGACAGGGCTAGACAGCCATCTCTGATCCACAGCACCCAGCCACTTGACCACAGTTGAGCAAAAGGTGGACCCATGATCCATCCATAAGAAACCAATCCACCAGCCAGCTGGACTAGCACTATAGTAGGTCCCGGCCCTTGAAAGCAGTACAGTTAGAAGCCAGGCTGGCATCACAGCAAACTAAAGTCAACATTCTAAGGGAGCAAGAAACTTCAGTAAGTAAAGGAAGCTGGTCTGCAAAGAGACTAGCAGAGTAGCACCCCACTAGCAGCTGTGGGGTCACCATCCCGGCCTTAGAAGCCAGGCAGCACCCCCACGAACTTCCCTTGCCCTCTTCCAGTGCCCTCCCTTCCTGTAATTCCAGGAGTAGGCCTCTGTTCCTTGCAGTGGCAAGTCCCTTCTCTTTGGGTGGCAGACTTGGTACCTGAAACAACACTGCACTCTTGCCCCTCCATTTTTTGCTATGCTTCTACTAAAGTCCGGAAGACGGCAAGGGGGTCCCTGCTTGATGGGACAACAGTACAGGAGGTCCCTGTGGGCCTGGTGTCTGGGGAAGACAGAGAACAGAAGGCCCTGGTGACAGGCAGGTCTGAGTCCCACTCCACAGTGTCACTGTCGTCTCACAGGTCCCATGCTTGCCTGGGCTCCAAATCACCTAGTTTAATATTTTTAAGTGTTGCCCTTGTATTTGTTTAAGGACTTTCAGGAATCATTTGTGTTGGGCTTTCAGGCATCTGAAATGCAAAGGTGTTCTTTTTAGATTTTTACACAAAACCAAAATACTTACTAGCTCTGCCTTAAATTGGCCGACTCTCCACTCCCCAGTCCAGTATTTTCTTCCCTTGAATGCTAACAGTTTTGTGGAATGGTGGTTTTAAAGCAAAAGTTAAAGTAAAACCTCACAATTTTGATTACCTAGGGAAAATTTCAACATGAAATAGTGAATGGCTGAAGTGTCAATATTTTGTAAGAAAGACAATTACAGAACCATCAAACAAAGGGAGAAACTCAAACCACCCTATTAGCAAAATGTGTCCAAAGAGGGGTCTACCTGAAAATATCTTGTTTATTCTGTATGAAGGCACTCACTTGTTTGAAAACTGACTGGGCTCTTCAGCAGTAATTGGACACAAACTACTGATACACACATTATTGTGAATGAATCTCAAAGGCACTATGCTGAGTGAAAGAAGTCAGTCTCCAATGGCTAAACACCGCCTGATTTCACATATAGGATATTCTAAAAGAGACAAAACTGTAGTGATGGAGAACAGACCAGTGGTTGCTGGGGTTATGGGAAGGGGGGATGAAGCGTATGGGGGAGGTAATGAAACTATTGTTTATTTTCATTGTGGTTGTGGTTATTCAAACCTATACATGGGTTAAAATTCACAGAGTTGTAAAGCCCCCCGAAAACGAATTTTACGCTACAACTTTTAAAAATAAGATTTAGTTCCTGGCCCGCGGCCGTCGGGTGTGAGCTGCGCCAACCGCTCTGAGGGTTCGTGGCCCACCACTCCTTCGCCATCTCTGCCGCCACCGTCCACGCTCAGCGTCGTAGAGAAGATGATGGGTCGGAACAGCGCCATCGCCGCCGGTGTATGCGGAGCCCTTCTTATTGGGTACTGCATCTACTTCGACCGCAAAAGACGAAGTGACCCCAACTTCAAGAACAGGCTTTGAGAACGAAGAAAGAAACAGAAGCTTGCCAAGGAGAGAGCTGGGCTTTCCAAGTTACCTGACTTTAAAGATGCTTTAAAGTTACCTGACTTTAAAGAAGTTCTTCCTTGAAGAAATACAGCTTGGTGAAGAGTTACTAGTTCAAGGTGAATATGAGAAGGGCGTAGACCATATCACAAATGCAATTGTTGTATGTGGACAGCCACAGCAGTTACCGCAGGTCTTACAGCAAACTCTTCCACCACCAGTGTTCCAGATGCTTCTGACTAAGCTCCCAACAATTAGTCAGAGAATTGTAAGTGCTCAGAGCTTGGCTGAAGATGATGTGGAATGAGAAACAAATGTCAACATAATAAAATCTCAGTTAAAAATATTTTTTAAATTTTTGGTAGTCGAGTAGCTCTGGGGGAATAAGGGCAAATATGAACTACACTGAAATCTACCAAAGTTAATGTTTACTTTGTGTAGATCCATTTGTCTATTTTATTTATTTTTCCCAGTGAAAAGTGTATTTTGGTAGATACACTTTTTATTCATTTTATACACTTTTTATTCATTTTATAAATACACTGTGAGTTACTAAAAAATAAAAAATAAGATTTAAAGTTACTTGCAGACAGAAAAGGTATAGCTAAAATGCTTAGAAACAATGTATACTCTGCCAGGCGTGGTGGCTCATGCCTGTAATCCCAGTACTTTGGGAGGCTGAGGAGGGCAGATCACAAGGTCAGGAGTTCCAGACCAACCTGGCCAACATGGTGAAACCCCGTCTCTACTAAAAATACAAAAATTAGCTTGGCGTGGTGGCACGTGTCTGTAATCCCAGCTACTCAGGAGGCTGAGGCAGGAGAATCACTTGAACCTGGGAGGCAGAGGTTGCAGTAAGCAGAGATTGTGCCACTGCACTCCATCCTGGGTGACAAAGCAAGACTCCATCTCAAAAAAAAAAAGAAAGAAAGAAAGAAAAGAAACAAAATATACCCTTCAGTAGGCGTATTAGTCTGTTCCCACATTGCTATAAAGAAATACCTGAAACTGGGTAATTTATAAGAAAAAAGGTTTGAGTAGCTCAGGGTTCTACAGGCTGTACAGGAAGCATGGCTCGGGAGACCTCAAGAAACTTTCAATCATGGCCGACGGCAAAGAGGAAGCAGGCACATCTTACACAGCCAGAGCAGAAGGAAGAGAAACTGAAAGGGAAGGTACTACGCACTTTTAAACAGCTAGAACTTTTGAGAATTCATTCACATCATGAGAACAACAGGGGGAAGTCCACCCCATGACCCAATTACTTCCCACTGGGCCCCCACTCCACCACTGGGGGTTACAATTGGACATGAAATTTGGGCGGGGCCACAAATCCAAACCATATCAGTAGGTAAAACCTGGCCCCTGTGATCCTATTTATGCAATGAATTTGTACGTTTTGTTTTCCTCACAGAATGAAATTATAAACTTCAGCCAAGTCCAGGCTAAATTAACAGACATTCTGAATCATATGGATCTAAGCTTACGAAGAGAAACTGTTGTACTGAAAAGTGAGGAAGCATGCCATTTGCTGTGCGCATCTCTCAAACACCAATACAGCACCACCACATAACACTGTGGCAGGCACCAAGACAGAGCCAAGGCTGAAGAAGCATCAATAACTGTTCTGAACTTTTGAACTACAAACCCTTCCTATAGTCAATTAAACCACATGTACTCACTGGCAAATTTTCTTAACTTACATATGTAAAATAACAAAATATCACAAAATATACCTAATCACTATCAAAATTACTTTTTGTTTAATTTACCTGCATGCATAGCAACCGTTTTTTAATTCATCTAAATAGATCCCTCTCTCAACTTACAGGAAGAGATGGGAAAGCAAGGAACAAAATTCTATGTTCTATGCATGAACAGAATATTAGATAATGCTGGTGAGATGAAGTGGTCCTGCAAATCCCTACATATAATAACTATTAAAAAAATAAATTTAATAAAATATTTAAAGAAACTGCAAGATATCCAAAAGCAGAGAGAAGCCAGAGGAAAATTGGCTGGGCGCAGTGGCTCACGCCTGTAATCCCAGCACTTTAGGAGACCGAGGCAGGTGGATCACGAGGTCAGGAGATCGAGACCATCCTGGTTAACACCGTGAAACTCTGTCTCTACTAAAAAAATACAAAAAATTAGCCAGGCGTGGTGGCGGTCGCCTGTAGTCCCAGTTACTCGGGAGGCTGAGGCAGGAGAATGGCGTGAGCCCGGGAGGCGGAGTTTGCAGTGAGCCCGGATTGTGCCACTGCACTCCAGCCTGTGCAACAGAGTGAGACTCCATCTCAGAAAAAAACAAAAAAGAAGCTAGAGGAAAATTTACTTTCAGAAAACTGCAACCAAAATCGGTAGAACCTGTGAGTTTACAGCTTACCAGCCACAGGATTAATTCCACCTGCAAGGCTACAAAAAAAAACATTGGTGGGAAAAATCGCAGCCTTACCAGCTAAATGTGTCAAATATCAGAATTCAGGATGGGAAAAGAAGCAGAAATTTAATGAGGAAGCCCTAGCAGCATGAGAACCACAGAATTAGTGAGACCCAAATTCAGAGCATAAACTTCCCAAATCTGGCTTATAGCTAGTCTACATATGAGTGGGGCAGACCCCAAGGGATCCGGCAAAAAAGAAGTCAGAGCCCAGAGAGATACCCACTCTTGAAAGATGGAACTACACAGGATTAGACCTCTGTGTCCTCACCCAAATCTCATCTCGAATTGTGGTCCCCACATGTTAAGGGAGAGACCTGTAATACCCACATGTCAAAGGAGGGAGGTGATTGCAGTTTAAATCCAGGGAAGTTCAATGCCTGCTAAAACAAAAATCTCAAAATCCTCAGGGAAAAAAAAAAAAAAATCAGTTGCTGCAATGACTAGTTTTCAACCAAAAATTACTAAATATGCAAAGAAACAGGAAAGTGTGACCCTTACTCAGGAAAAAAAATAATGGTGGTCAATAGAACTGACTTTACAAAGGTGATTCAGATTCATCTGCCATCTATAATTCGCTGCTAGGTCGATTGAAAAATTAAGGGAAGCTGTATTAGTCTGTTTTGTGCTGCTATAAAAGAATACCTGAGGCTGGGTAATTTGTAAAGAAGGGAGGTTTATTTGGTTCCTGGTTGTGCAGGCTGTACTAGAAGCATGGCACCAGCATCTGCTTCTGGTGGGGCCTCAGGAAGCTTCCATTCATGGTGGAAGGCAAAGGAGAGCAGCCGTGTCACATGGAGAGAGAGAGAGCAAGAGAGGGATGGGAGGTGCCATGCTTTTTTAAACAATCTGCTCTAGTATGAACTAATACAGCTAGACTCACTCAGTATCACAGGGAAGGTGCCAAGTCATTCATGAGAGATCTGTCCCCATGACCCAGACACCTCTCAGTAGGCCCCATCTCCATCTCCAACAATAGGGGTCACATTTTAACCTGAGATTTGGAGGGGACAAATATCCAACCTGTATCAGAAGTATTTTGGCCTGAAGGAAAACGACACTGGATAGCAACTGTTTAAAAGAGCATGTCTCCTCCCCACTCTTGCTCCCTTGCAGATATGAATGACACCACCAATCACTGTAACCTGACAGTTCTAAACATTACACCCAACAACTGCAGAATATACTCTTTTAAGTCCCCACAGAATGTTCCCAAAGATAGACCACACACTAGGTCATAAAACAACTCTCGTTTTCAGATTATTAAAATATAGCAGACTATATTCTCTTACTGCAGCAGAATTAAATTAGAAATCAACAAAAAATAAAACATCAGAGATAGCCCCCAAATATCTGGAAATTAAAAACTCACTTTTAAAGAACCCTTAGAAATCACAAAGTATTTTAGAAAATATTTTCAACTGAAAAATAGTGAAAATTGATCAATTAGACTTCTTCAACATTTAAAACTTTTGCTCTTTGAAAACCACTGTCATCAAAATGAAAATGTTTTCAAAACATATATCTGATAAAAAGCTTTTATCTAAAACATTTAAAGAGTTTTTGAAGCTCAATAATTTAAAAAACAACTAAAAATGGGCAAAAATATTTGAACAGACTCTTCATCAAACAAGTTATATGACCATCAAATAAGCACATGTTCAATATCATCCATCATTAGTGAAATAGTGAAATGTGAATTAAAACCAAAATCAGCCACCACTTCACACCTTATGGACTGGCTAAAATGAAAAAGACTGACAATACCAAGTACTAGCAAGGATGTGGTGCAACTATAACTCTCAGACATTGCTGCTGGTAATATATATATTGATTGCATCCCTCATTCTGTCTCCCTAAAAATGTTAATCCATAAAAAGGTAGTAAAAAATGTTTAAAGTTGGCAATGAACACCTGAAAAACACATTTGCTTTATTTATTTTATTTTCTACAGGTTTGACACTTTTTTTTTTTTTTTTTTTTTTTTTTTTGAGACAGGGTCTCACTCTTTTACCCAGGATGGAGTGCAGTGGCATGACCTCGGCTCAAGTGCTTTCCACCTCAGCCTCCTGAGTAGCTGGGACCACAAGCGTGCACCACCATGCCCAGTTGGTTTTTGTACTTTTAGTAGAGATGAGGTTTCACCATGTTGCCCAGGCTGATCTCAAACTCCTGAGCTCGAGCAATCTGCCCACCTTGGCCTCCCAAAGTGCTGGGATTACAGATGCGAGCCACAACACACGTTTGACACTTTTTAAATCCACTAAATTGCAGAGTAACTAACAGCCATTGCCACTTCGAAAACCAGTTCATTGATGGAAATAATGTGACCTCACAAGCAGCTTCAGGGAACTTTTCACTGAATTTGTGGGATCCATCAGAAATGAAAAGGCAGAATTCAAGCACCCAGTCTGACCTGCCTCAGCTCAGCATCCTTAGGTCCTCCCTCTCCTCCAAGGCTCTGAATCTGCCTGGGGAAGAGCATGGCAGTTGCAGACAACCCCTGCGTCCCTCCCCAGAATCAGGACCCTTGGTATCACTGCCTCCAGGAATAGCAGCGGGACCAGGCAAGACCAAGGTCAAGCTCTTTCTGCCACCTACCTGTGGTTTCACACATCAAGCTGGAATCTGTTAACAGTTTTTGTTATTATTAGTAGGATGTCTACACCACAAATGATTTCGTTACAGATTCAAAACAGCCATTTGGTAGAAAATGACCACTGATGAGTCTCCCAGGAAAGAGGATTTACAAAAAGCTTCCTTTTCATTTTAATTTTTCTCTAGATCCCTTGGTCTATCTTAAATGGCGAAAGAACATGACCATTCAAAAAAGTGAAAGGGCATCAAAATCTGAGGGCAAAGGCTGTCGTGAGGAAAGGAGATGAAAGCCACAGGGGCTAAAGCTACGACTGACTTTGCAAATAATTAACCAAGAAATGAAGAAGTGGTCTGGATGAGAAACTGCTGTATCTCACTGAGGAAAAAACAAAAAAGTGAGAAACACAAATTTATCGCATCCTGGACAGGTCAAGGACACACACAATGTGAACATGGCTCAGAACCAAATTCAGCATCTTTAGCGCCAGAGAAAAACATCTAACTCATAGTACATCCATGGCAGTTTACTGAGTAGATTGATTTTTGTTAAAATTGAGAACTTTTTGACAACCAAATGATGGGGCTGGAATTAGTTAGGTGAGAGATGTTGACAGCCTTTAAAAATTAAATAAAGAGGCCAGGCATGGTGGTTCATGCCTGTAATCCCAGCACTTTGGGAGGCTGAGGCAGGAGAATCACTTGAGCCCAAGAATTTGAGGCAGCAGTGAGTTATGATCACGACCCTGCACTCCATCCTGGATGACAAAGAGATCCCATTTCAAAAAAAAAAAAAAAGAGAGAGAGAGAGAGAAGAAAAGAAAGAATAAAAAAAAGAAAGCAACTTTAAAGAAGAAAACTGGTGGCCAGGCGCAGTGGCACACACCTGCAATCCCAGCACTTTGGGAGGCTGCAGCGGGCAGATGGCTTAAACTCAGGAGCTCGAGACCAGCCTGGGCAACATGGCAAAACCCCATCTCTACAAAAAATACAAAAATTAGCCAGATGTGGCTGGAGTCCCAACTACCCAGGAGGCTGAGGCGGCAGGATCACCTGAGGTAGATCACCAACTACCAGGGAAGTTGAGGCTGCAGTGAGCCATGATTGTACTCCAGCCTGAGCGACATCAAGCAAGACCCTGCCTCAAAAAAAAATAAATAAATAAATAAATAAAAAAGACGAGACAAATCCCTTCAGCAAAATGGTACTAGTCCCACACTTATCACTGGTGACTGCCTTCAAGTCAGAGATTTTCACCCTAACTTTGTTATCATGGCCGGACTCCCGCTCTTCTGAGGTAATGTCTATAAATCTTGGCATCCAAGGTGCTTTTGCTCCACATGTCAGCTATTAGCACTGGTATTTTTCCTGACAACTAACTAGTAACACTGAAGGAAAGAAATGAATTTTATACCATTAACTACAATTAGGTGTTTTTTAGAGGGGACATGGCACTGCCTGGAAATTAAAGGGACATGCTTTTGACCATGTTTGCCACTGAGATGAGAAATGTGGTGGAAATGGAATCCATACATGGGGTTCATTTACACCCAACTTAATCCACGAGAAAAGATTCTCTCCACATAGCTGGTGCTGAGGGAACCCTCCAGACCAGGCAGACCCCTAGAGAGCCCCCCTCAGTCCAGCCTGAAGTGGTGGCCGTGCATCCCTCACCTTCCATCTTGGTCGTGTAAAACCCAACAGCCGCTCCACATCTCCACAGGATTTTAGCTTGTTCCTTCACAGAGTGAGGTAGAAAAAACATGTCATCATCATCCAAATTTCTCTCCAGTCTTCCAAAAATAATGACGTTTAGAATGAAAAGCACAATCCTTTCCCCAAATGACTGAACCTTCAGAAAAAAAAAAAGAAAGAAAAGAGCAACAATAATCACGTGAGACAAGAGAGGAAAATCATATGCAATAAATTCTGTGCTTGGACGTGACCCACACATTGGGGCCAGGTGTGAGCTCCTCCATCGAAGATTCATTTTGTGCTCAAAGATCCAAAACGTGAATCATGGCATCTCACAGAGGCTTCCACACCACTGACCTTTCGCACCATGCGGCCTCCAGGAGCAGAGAACAACGCCAGGGGCGGCCCCTGGGTCCTCAAGACCACGGACCAGGAATGTGAGACGACAAAACACAATCCATCACATGGTAACAAAACAGGAATTTAACACTGGGGGACTGGGCAACCCATTTCAACTGACTCGCTGGATGTGTCCTGAAATAAACCCAATCTGCCATTTTCATGACAGCAGGCCCCAGAATTCTGGCCGTCAGAAGGAGGGTAAATAATGTGGGAGATCAATTGCTACACCAAAAGCAAGTGAGTTTCAACTTGTGACCGATTTGGAGCACACACTGGTGTCCTAATCCCAGAGAATTACAGGGACTCGGGGCACACCCCTTCTAAGGCTGTAAAATTGAACCATCTCTTGCCTGTAGCAAAGTTATCACAAGTGAGGAAATTGTATTGTGGTCAAAGTCAGGCCCACACAGTTAGAAGCTTTCCCCTTCGCAAGTCAAAATGACTTCGCACTCCTGCCTATTAAAATGCTGTGCATTTGTGTAGCCCACGGATGGCAAATACGTGGTAGAAATCAAGGTCTCCCACCCCTGGATTCAGAGCAGACCTATCTGTCCAGCTAAGCATGGACACGGTCTCAGAAGCCTCCTTAACGCAGCCCTTCAGACAGTCACGAGCAACTGCTAAAATGTGGCACAAGGTGAAACCAATCAGCTATTTATGAAGTGACAATGCTGTTGTATTGGAATTTACTCTGCAACACTGCTAGGTGACAGCCTCTGTGTGTGTGTATTTGTCACTTCATCCTATGCATTACCTCTAGATCAACAAGGCCACCAGCTGGTCCATGACATCCACCCACATGCGCCCATTTGATTCTCACCACCTGGCTGGAGAGGTCCTGGTTCATAGGTGGGGAAATTGAGGCTCAAAGAGGGTGATTACATTTATTGATTTCCCTGCCTCATTTCAAAGAGGACTTGAGACAGCTGGACAAGGGATCTGTCAGAGGCAGGCACAAAACAACAGACTGGGGCTTTCCAGTCCAGCCAGCGGTTTCCTTCTTCATCTTCATCCATTAGAAATGAGATTTGGGGAAAGGGGATAATACAAATGTTAATACTTCATTTTATATTTAATACTTGACCCTTGGATTATCATCCTCATCGTTTGTGGTTTGTGGGTTGTTACCTTGGATTTGCTGGGAGATCTTCAGCAATTCACAACCTCTTTGAGTCTTGGTTTCCCCCTCCAGTCAAGGGATAAGATCCTTCATGTGGTCTCTAAAATACATGCATGTTTTCAAATGCTCTGGTAATAAAAATAAGGCAGCTTGCAGCAAATGGCAAGAAGTGTTCAGTGCCAATAAACTTATGAATTGGCCAGAATGTAAAATATTTCACCTTCATCTGGAGTTAAATCTTAAATGAGAAAAAGATTAGTGAAAACCACACTAGCTTGGCTTTGAGAAGCCATCACATTTTGTATCTCAGACAGCGGCAGCCAAATCAAGTTCAGACATTAAGAATAACTAGCTAGTCACAAAACCAGATTGGTGTCGTGGGGGAGGTTATATTTTTCAACTTATAAAACCAAAAAGTTCAGAAGAAAGCCAGAAGACAAAAGCAGATTGCATCTGGCAGAAGGGAAATATCCAATCAAAAACTGGCAGGAGAAAAAGGAGGAGAAAGAAAATGTACTTAATTTGTCCAATTTCATTACGGGGGAGGAAAACGTGTGACATGTGATTTTGACTCAGAAATGTTTCTGAAAACACAAAACTAAGTTCCAGTTCACATCCCTCATTAGGACCACTAATTAAGTTAACAGGAAAAACATTAAGAAATCTTGTGGGGTTTTTTTTGGTAATTTGTGAAGAAGAGCTGGCTAGGAAACAAAATGTAATTAAAAGAAAAAGAAAAAAAGTCAAGACCTAAAGTTCTACAAACAGAGAGAGGAAATATTCCCTTGTACAGCTGGGGTAGGATAGATCTTTACAACATGGTTCATTAAGTGGAAATAACACCCAAGTTTCTTTTTGTTCATAATATAGGCCACATTTTCAGAAAATGTGGGGGTTTTCTCATTTAAACTTAGAAGAAGAGATGACAAATGAAGGAAGTAACAACTCTTGTTCTGAAAAAATTATTTAAGGAGCCATTCACATTCTTCATAGCATTCAGAACAGTCAATCATTAAGTGGCACCTGGCCCACCTGCGGCACCAGAGCTGGGACAGCAACGCAAACCAAGATGCCAAGCACCACACTGGGTACATCATGCTCACTTGCTGAATCTCAGGCCATCTCTAATGTGCTGGAAGAAAAACCTTTTCAAAATAATATCTACCGAGTCAATTAAAACGAGACCTAAAAAAGACAACTCATAGAATGGGAAAAAAATAACTGCAAATCATATATGTGATAAGGATTATGCATATGAAAAGCTCTGCATATGAAACTCTGCATATGAAAAACTCTCACAACCCAATAGTAAAAAGTCAAATAGCCCAATTAAAAAGTGGGCCAAGGATCTTCATAAACATTTTCCCAAAGAGGATCTATAGATGGCCAATCAGCACATGAAAAGATGCTCACCATCCTTAGCCATCATGGAAATGCAAATTAAAACCACAGTGAGATTCTACTTCACACCTAATAGGATGGAGAACATTAAAAAGACAATAACAAGTGCTGGTGAGGATATGGAGTGACTGAAACCCTCAGACACTGCTGTTGAGAGTACAGAATGGTGCGGCTGCTGGGGAAGGTAGTTGGACAATTCCTCAATATATGAAACATAGAGTTACCACATGACCAACAATTCCACTCCTAGATATATACTCAAGAGAACTGAAAATATGTATCCTCAAAAAAACTTACATACAAATGCTTATAGAAGTATTATTAATCATAGTCAAAAAGTGGATACGATTCAAATGTCCATCAACTGAAAAATGGATAAATGAAATGTGGTATATCCATACAATGGACTATTATTCACCCCAAAAAAAAGAATGAAGTACTGATGCGTGCTACAGTGGATGAACTCTGAAAAGATTTTGTCAAGTTAAAGAGGCTGTTTACACAAGACCACCTGTCATATGATTCCATTTATAGGAAATATCTAGAATAGGCAAATCCATAAAGACAGAAAGCAGATTAGTGGTTTCCAGGGACTGGGGAAAGACAGGAATGAGGAGTGATGCTAATGGGTAGAAAGTGTCTTTTTAAAATGATGAAAATGTTCTGGAATTAGTGGTGATTGATATACAATGTTGTGAACATAGTAAAACTCCCTGCATTGTGCACTTTAAAAGAATGAAGCTCATGATGTGTGAATTTATCTTAATGAAGCTCTTGTTTAGAAAAAAATCAAGAACTAATTTTTTTAATTGCTCAGCAGAAAAAATAAAATAAAATAAAATAAAACCTGGATTAACAACTTGGGAACATTACCTGAGACCTCTTATAGGGATTATCTAATTTCAGAACCTTCGAGGTATTTGTTGTGTAGATGAAGACATCGAGGCTGAGTCACACTGCCAGTAAGTGAGGTAGCTGGGTACAAACTTCCATCTCCTTGACATCAGGCTGGAGATCTTTGAAGTGTTGTGCCTGAGACTATTTCCCCTCTCTGTCTGTAGAACTTTAGGTCTTGACTTTTTTCTTTATCTTTTAATTGTATTTTGTTTCTTAGCCATTCTCCCTACTGAACCTGAAAGAAAACTGATATTTCATTCATTATTTACAGGGCTCTATGAAGGCAACTGAATGGCATGCCAGACAACTGTAAACAAGATCACACATTTCAAGACTGCAGGGAAGCATCATCCTTCTTCCCACCTATGGAATTAAGATAAATATACCAGTCAAATGAAAATGAGTGAATGTGAGGCACACAGTCCAACTCTCAGCTGGGTACTGGCTTCCTCCTTAGCCTTGGCCCCAGCCAAAGTTCAGCCAAGAGGACACCACCTGGACCCCTGAGAAGCTCCTCTGGCTCCTGCCTTCACACCTGCCATCGCAGGTCTCTGCTTTACAACTGCTCAACAGAGGCACAGCTCTTCAAAGATCACCAGGTCTGATGTCAAGGAGACAGATGTTTGTACCCAGCTAAATCACTTACTGGCTGTGTGACTCAGTTTCAATGTGTTCATCTGCAAAACAAATACCTTGAACGTTCTGACATTAGATAAGCTCTATAGAGGCTCAGGTAGCATACAGGATAATATCTGCTATAATTCTAACTTATGCTAAGTGCCAATAAACATTACCTGAATGTACTAAGCAGAAGTTTCCCATACAACAGAGAGATGGTGTATATTAAAGTTTTAAAACTTAGACATGAGGGGCCACTCAGGAAAGTAAAATAGACTTATCAGTAGCCAGATATCTGTTATACATAGCACTGAGTGCTGTTTTCCTTGCTAGCAGGGTGTTATGGATTGAATTATCACCCCCAAAAAGCTGTTGACATCCTAACTCCCAGTTGTGTGAATGTGACCTTATTTGGAAATAGAGTCTGCTGATCAATCAACATGAGGGGATTCAGTTGGTCTCTAATCCAATATGACTCGTGTCCTTATAAAAAAGGAGGATTTTGACAGAGACAGACACACACATAGAGAACAATGTGGAAATACAAGGAGAAGGTCATCTACAAGCCAAGAAACCCCTGAGGTTACTGGAAGCTAGGAGGGAAGCCAGGAACAGATTCTCATTTACAGCCCTCAAAAGAAAACAACCCTGTCGATTGCTTGATTTCAGACTTTCCAGCCTCCAGAACTGTGAGACAATACATTTCTGTTTTGTGGTACTCTGTGGTACTAGGAAATGAAGACATGGCTAGACTGCTTTAAATTATCAAATTATCAAGTAAGCACTGTGACTTTTAAAACCTCTTTTACAATGTTCATTTAAAATTGCATCAACTCACCTTCATCAACCCTTGTCTTGCAGGATCAGAGGTTCCTAGTGCATCTTCCGTGGACCACAATGATCCCTTTATGTAAACAGCCACAACTGGAGAGAAAGCCAAGAGAGGATGATGTGCATACAGCAAACTGGCCAACAGAGGGGCAGCTTCACAGCACAGAGCCACTGACAAGGTGCAAAGGAAGATGATTTGTGGGGAAAGCAGGTGATATTTTTAGAGCTGAATTTACTGAACAGGAAAGATTGACCACTCTCACATGAAGCGGGCTTCACAGATGTTTCAGAGGTGGCCTGTTGTTGACACAAAACAGGATATATCCCAATGTTTGGGGACACAGCAGGATACACACCAATATTGACAAATCCAATGAGTAAGAATTACCTTTTTTCGAGTCAGATTGTCGCTCTGTCACCCACGCTAAAGTGCAATGGCGCAATCTTGGCTCACTGTGAGCTCCACCTCCCAGGTTCAAGTGGTTCTCCTGCTTCAGCCTCCCAAGTAGCTGGGACTACAGCTGTGAGCCACCATGCCTTACTAATCATTGTGTTTTGTAGAAACAGGGTTTCGCCATGTTGGCCAGGCTGGTCTCAAACTCCTGACCTCAAGTAATCCGCCTGCCTTGGCCTCCCAAAGTGCTGGGATTACAGGCATGAGATTTGTGGGTACATAGTAAATGTATATATTTATAGGCTATCTGAGATGTTTTGATACAGGCATGCAGTGCATATTAATGGAGTATCCAGCAGAGCACTTACATCTGTAATCCCAGCACCCTGGAAGGCAGAGGTGGGCGGATCGCTTGAACCCAGGAGTTCAAAACCAGCTTGGGCAACATGGTGAAACCCCATCTCTGCGAAAAATACGAAATAATTAGCTGGGTGTGGTGGCACATGCCTGTCCTCCCAAATACTTGAGAGGCTGAGGCTGGAGGATCACTTGAGTCCTAGAGGTCAAGGCTGCAGTGAGTCATGGGTGCACCACTGCACTCCAGCCTGGACAACAGAGTGAGACTCCGTCTTAAAAAAAAAAAAGGAAAGACAAAAAATGATGTATCTGTCCCCTCAAGCATTACATCCTTTGTGTCACAAACAATCTGATTCTACTCTTTTAGTTATTTTAAAATGTACAAGAATCACATTTTAAGCACCAAAGTTACTTTGGTTGTTTTCTAGCATCTTTTTTATACCCCTTTGATCATCATTTTTATATCTGCCTCTCAAGGCCAGTATTTGAGCCTGAGGGTTCCAGAATCCACAGAATTATAAAAGAGGCCTCTTCCCAGTCAAATCTTGTTAGATGGAGATTTGGAGGAAAATGTGAACACGGAGTAGAAAACAAAAGCAATTGAACATTTCACATAAGCCTCAAGATTTTAAAACAAATGTTGTGGACCACTCGGGGTTAGCTGCCACAGCCTTTCTGCCTGTTCCTCTCTGCTACTGAAGGAACTTTAGTAGAAAACTCTGTGAAGACCAAGCTACAGTGGTGTGATGGTTAATAATGAGTGTCAACTTGATTGGATTGAGGGATACAGAGTATTAATCCCAGGTGTGTCTATGTGGGTGTTGCCAGAAGAGTTTAACATTTGAGTCAGTGTGCTGGGGAAGGCAGATCCACCCTTAATCTGCTGGGCACAATCTAATCAGCTTCCAGCAAATATAAAGCAGGCAGAAAAACGTGAAAAGGAGAGATGGGCTTAGCCTCCCCACCTATGTCTTTCTCTCATGCTGGATGCTTCCTGCCCTCGAACATCGGACTCCAAGTTCTTCAGCTTTGGGACTCAGACTGCTTCTCCTTGCTCCTCAGCTTGCAGACAGCCTATTGTGGGACCTTGTGATTATGTAAGTTAATACTTAATAAACTCCCCTTTATACATATATATAATACTTAATAAATTCCCCTTCACGTATGTATATAGAATACTTAATAAACTCATATATATATACACACACACATATATCTCCTATATGTATCCTGTTAATTCTGTCCCTCTAAGAGAACCCTGACTAATACAAGTGGCATTAGCCAGGTATTAAACATTAACTCTGCATAGCCAGCCCCTCCTCCCTAGAGACCACAGCATCGAACTCACCTTGTCAGTTTCATATGGGTGAATTATATCATCTCTGACAATGGTTCCAAAATTGACAGAGTCAGCTGGGAGCAAAGAGCCAATTAAATGCTTGACATCTGCCTTCATTTATTCGACTCAATTCACTTCCAAAATGGCACCTACTAGAACTTCCAGGAGCTTTATAAGCTACAAGGATTATTTTCCTGCTTAACAAGGTGAATCAATAAAAGCTGTTGAAGTTACTAATATGCTGTATTGCTGTAATACAGATGTTCAATTTGCTAATACAATTTCAAACAAGAAATGTGTTATGATTCAGTGTTTATGTGGTGCCTTGCAAGTTTCACGGTGCACTGCAGACCATTAATTAGTCACACAAGTTGTCACAAATAAGACTGAACTGTTGTTTTTTTTCAAAACTCATCTTAAACTGCTAAGTATACATAACAATGAAACTGAAGTCCAATCACATGTAACGGTTAAAAACAAACTGCCCTCAAAACCAACTCTTGAAAAATAGAATCAGCCTTCTGGAGAGCAGGAGCTTTTGATCAATGAAGTATAATACCTTGTCCAGAGAACACAGGAGGGAGACATGGTGGCACAGCCCTTGGAGAGAGGCAGTCCCCAGCTCAGCAAGGACAAATGACAGCTTCTGGGGGGCTGACAGGTGCCACAGAGCCAGCCTCAGGGCATCACTGCTGAGACGCTAGAGCCAGCAACCTCCAAGGGTTAGAAAATGGAAGTCACAATATCCTTGTTTTTTAAAAGGAAAAGTATGGTCCTGAGCAATCATTTCCACCACCTAAGGACTGAGAAGAGCCTGGACACCTGCAGAGAGAGATGCACCATGCCGAGAGCCATCCGGAGGGCATTGTGAAGAACCAGCCTCACCAAGCCAATTCAATTTCCCTGTCTCCGAGTAGCAGGTGACATGGACCACAAGGAAGGTGTCAGTAATGGATTTTATTCTATGACACTCCAAGGTCTCCCAAAGAAGAGAGACCTTGGGAGGTCCCTAAGGCTAATTCCTAGAGGCCTGGATTCACCTGAGGCTAAGCATGATTCACTGAATTCAACTCTCCATGGCTGAGTTCCCCACTGTGTGACTGATGCTGTCCTGGGACCCGGGAGCTGATGATTAAGCCTCCATCCTTACCTCTTGGAGTTGAGAGCCCACTGAGAACGAGAGAGCTAAATAAGCTACTCCCTTACAGGGCAGGGAATCATCGGTGCTGGAATCAAGTTTCACAAGGACCCAGAGAAGGAGGTCAGCTCTGCAGAGGGGAATTGGGAAAGCATCCCCAGAAACTCCACCAGCTCTGCATCACTGGGTGAGGTTTCAACAGACAGAGACGGTGGGGAAGGCTGATGCAGGCAACCCGGGAGTAGAGACACAGAGTCCTGTATGTCCTGGGTTATGTTCAGGGCATCCCAAGCGGCAGGGGTAGCTGGGCAAGGTCTAAATATGGAAGAGACTGGGCTGCAAACACCATCTCAGCAAAACACTGGCTTCGTTCACTCGGAAGTCACCAGCTGATATCAGCGCCAACGGGGAGTAAGATGACTCAAGGCATTTTAGAAACGGCTCTACATACTGTCCATGGTAAAGGAAAAGGAAAAGGAATTGGAACCTCAGAGCCAGACAGGGCTTAAATTCTGGCGTCCCCAGTTACTAGTTGCATGACCTAAACCCATCCCCTCCCCAGCTTTGATTCACCCAGTCAAATGGAGATCACATCCTCTTCTATTGTTATAAAGCAAGGTAGGTGAGAGAGTTCACCTCGCCAAACTGCTTTTCCTTAGGTGTTTGAAGCATTCCAGTAATTTCTAGAAAGTTCCTCCATCTGCTTCCAACATTGCTCTGGGATTACAATGAAGTATGAAAAGGCTGTGTAATATTTTCATTGTCAACAAGACAATCGAAAGTGTTCTGTAACACTCCATTTCTCCCTGGGAGATCTCCATCCAAACCATCTTTCTGCTCCGGTTTACACAGAAATGTCTCTTTCACAGCTTGAGATCTGCCCATCCAGTGAGTATTTACTTTTCACATCACATTTCCTCATGACCATCCCCTTTTCTATCAGGAGTTAAGCTGACCACAGCATTCCTCGCTCTGCCCTCCCAACGTAGTGGGCACGCATCAGCGCCGGATTCAGACACATAACAGGACTTCTGACAAGATTTTTAAAACTTTATGTCTTGCTTAAGACTTCTTAAAGAAGCCGAACCTTTTTAATCTGATTTTTTAAAATCTATAAGTAAGCAAAGCAATCCTTTTGAAAAAGTTAGCATGACTTTTTCACAGTACAGGTCAGAGAGACCTGGTTGTCACCTGTCACCTTGGATGGATGGGCTGTGGCAACTAAGAGTGAGTGGTGCCTTCAGAAGGATTTTTGAGGCCGCAGACAAATTCAGCAAGGAGGAGTCTACTTAAGCAATTAAACTATACCCTGGCTTAAGAAACTTACAATTTAAAGGAAGACACAGAATCGAGTCAAATCAGACCCAGGCTGTGTGGTGTGATGTAGTAGCAACGTCCAGCAGGGGACAGTGGAGCGCAAAGTTGAGCTTGAGGTCCCCCTCCAACTGCCTCAGCACAGAGATCAGCAGGAGGTACCAAAGCGGTGCACAGACCCTCCGGAGGTCACAAGTCTGTGGCACGTGTTGCTTATCCAACCCACATATAGAGCAGCTATAATGTGCAAAAGACATATTACATCCAATCAAGGAATCAAACTAGACCCTGGCTTAAGAAACTTACAGTTTAGAGGAAGACACAGAATAGAGTCAGATCAGACCCAGGCTATGTGCTGTGGGAGGGCCAGAAGGGAGAAGAAGGTCATTTGGAATGGGGGATGAGAGAGTATCCAAGGGCAACTGACCTAACCAGGTGGGAAGAATGAGTCAGGCCAAAGTAAGGGGAGAAGGCCATGCCAGGTGAGGGAGGTGACAGAGATGTAGAGATGTGACAGGCAAGGACAGGAACTGCAGCATGCCAGAGCCACC